CCAAATGTTCTTGCCACAGATTTCTGAACAGCACTCAGCTCACTCTGATGAAGTTGTCTCACGTTCCCTAACGCAAACAAATTTTTAATAATGTTTTAATATTTTTATACATTATTTTTGTGCATGTCAGCATAGTCTTGAAAAGGATGCTGAGAAATAATGAAAACCAAACTAACCCTTGTTCATGCCAGCTCACTGGAAAATCCTACTTAAGAGTGCTTTGTCTCCATGAAAGGCAAAATAACAGAATAGCAATCATGGTAACAGTATGCACTAGGAGTGGAGCCAGGAGAGTAAAGAGGAGAGTTAGCAGTAGCAGATGACTTCATTTATTGGAAAAAAAGGGGCAAAATAACTCAATCTCAAATGAATTTAAATATTGGAATTTTGTTATCAGCAGTATCGGGCATAGCTTCCCCAGCTAATTGCTCAGCAGTCTGGTATGTCCATAAACATCCCTTGGTCTGTGCAGTTTTCATCAGTATCTCACCACTTACCCTTTTTGGCATCCTTCTTGGCACAGGCTCTGTTGTCTCTTACCCCTTTACAGAAATGAGGTCATCTCCCCTGTGCTCCATAACTCGTGCTGACACCTTCTGCACCCCAGACTTCTTGCTGAACTGAATGTACGCTGCAGCACAGGTCCTGTCTAACGAGAACTCTGAACTTCACAGTTCTGCTTCAAAGACATTTGACAGCAGAGCAGATGCAAAGACTTCGTAAAAGTTTTTAAGCTCAGATTCTTTTTACCTTAGCACAGGCTTAACAGAGCCAAACTGTTTCCTTCTCTTGCCTTGGAGATGAGGAAGATGCAGAACTACATAGAAAATGGCCACTCCAGACAGAGTAATACCAGCACAACTGATACTTTTGTCTTCATCTTATCCCACAAAGCATTCTGTTTTCTGCCATCAGGATCTTCACTAAAGGCACCTAACTAGGAATTAGAATAAGTCCCTTACCTCCTTTCACAGGACTGATGAAAGCAATTGTGATTGCCATGTATAATAGCAAGGAAGCCAGGCTGGAATTGTTGGCTTAAGTTGTAAGGATCCTATACCTATTTCCACAAATTCCTATACCTATTTGCCACAATTGTAAGGCTCCTATACCTATTTCCACAAATTCTGTCACCCTTGACACATCTCACCTTAGTCAGGCAGTATTTTAGCCTGAACTGAAGTCTGATTCTATAATCTTATTTTCAATCTGAGATACGCAGTCCTTTTAGATGCATTACATCATTTGTTTCAGGTTTTTTTTAACAAACTTTTTCTGTTCTGAAGCTGTCCAGGTAGTAAAAGCTCTTGCTAAAAATGAGTTATAACGATCAATCTTTAAATATTTTTGTGTTGTATTCATATTAGTGCAAATTTCACTTCATACTTCCTTCCGTGCGGGTCTAATTTCCAAAAAAAGGGAGTGTAGAGTGAAAACTCTCAAAGAACTATTTTTGTTGGTAGACAACATCTCTTATTTTTTTGTAGGTTTTGATAGTGATAACATTTGAACCTATACATACTTTAAAATACCTGGAGTCAAATCCAGCTGGCTTTGATTTTGTAACGGCTTGACTGTGTCAGCACAAAACTTGTTATTTTGCTGTTCTTTCTCTAGATAAAGTAATTTTGGTGCGGTCTCCATGCTTTGTTTCAATGAACATTGTCTTAGAATCAAATTAATCGAACAGTCTTATTGTTTTCAGCTCTGTGACTCTCCACGGTGAGAAACTTAAACCTTTAAACTCTTATGTATTAGAAAATTTAACCGTCATTTTGACACGTGGCATGATGTCTGTGAAAAAGCACTGCACCGTACTGGTACTCATTTAGGGCTGTGCCTTGAGATTGCTACTCTTTCACAGGCTGTAGTTTCAACAGTTTGTTAAACATAATGCTTCAGTAGCTCTCGGTGAACTATAATGTCATCCACTTAAACGAACTTAATGTAAATCAGGATTTAGAACTGGCACCAGATGACACGTGGCATGATGTCTGTGAAAAAGCACTGCACCGTACTGGTACTCATTTAGGGCTGTGCCTTGAGATTGCTACTCTTTCACAGGCTGTAGTTTCAACAGTTTGTTAAACATAATGCTTCAGTAGCTCTCGGTGAACTATAATGTCATCCACTTAAACGAACTTAATGTAAATCAGGATTTAGAACTGGCACCAGAGGGAAAGAAAACTGAACCAATCCTTCAGCCAAATTAAGAGACAAGTAGTGACTTAATGCATTGCAATGTGTGATGGTAACTTCAGAGTAGCCACATTAACCCTGAAATTTATGCTGAGTTTCAGACTAAACTCTTGCTGATAAATGCTCATAATTTTCAGGAAAATTCTCTTTCAGCTGCTGCTATCTTCACACTGGGTCTCAGTTCCAATATATTTTAAGCTTCGTAGAAGGTAGTAAACACCTCAGTAGTCCTAAGTATTTTACTATTCACAAGTTGAAAAATATCTGATGGAAAGGCACTACAAACAAAGCATGTAGAGAGAAATCCTTTTTGTGAACCTAGTTCGTCAGAAGGGCTGGAGGTTTTCAAATAAAAGAACTTGTAAACATTTCTGAAACTTCTGAATGCATTTGGTTTGTCTCTGCGTAAATTTTAAGAATTTGTAATTAAAACTTTTCGTAAAAGACTTTAGTGAAATATATGTTCTTGCTAGTAATGCAACAGACAAGATTTTCAGACCTAATGGTGAAATACAAATTCAAACAGTTTTTACACTAAACTAGTCACCACCTAATTGTGCTCGGATTCATACTTTTTACATTCTAACTTGTGCTTAGCCTCCACAGCAGAAGAGGAAGATGAACCCTGTTGTCTTTAGGGAAACAGCTTCCAATGTCGTCTTACAGCCCAAATGCAACAACATTTTAATTGAAAATGCAGCAGAACATTGTACTCAGCCCTCTTTTGACCTCCCAGGTGTATGGTTCTGGTTGAATATCTGGATCAAGTAATGATTAAAAGTGCATTTTTTTAAAACTGCATGTGGCCTTTAAGCATAAGATCTTCTCTGAAGCCACATATGCCAGTGACTCATGCTACTGGTGTCATGTTTCACAAATTCTGAATGTGTGATGGTAGCAAAGACAATGCTGTCCTATATAAGACAGTATATAGGAATAAAGTAGAAAACAGGATTACAACCTGTTTTCTCTTTTTGTTCTCCCACTAAATTGATGACTTGATGAATGATACTACTGAAGGTTCCTCTAATGAACTCGTTTCCCCTCTCTGTATTGCTAGAAGCAGTCTCCTCTTTCAGCTTGTCTTGAGGCTCCTTACATGGTTAATTAAACAGCACAATGAATAATTTGCTCAAATCTGCAGAACACACTGTGGATGAGATTTTTCCCCTTACTGCTAGGGAAAAACCTTTGCAATTCTTCATAGTAATGACCCAGTTCATAGTGAAATTCCTGAGTCTAGGCTATGGGGAAATAAAAATACAAGTAGTTTGGAAGTAATTCCTACATTTCATACAACTTGATATAAATCTATATTGCAGAGTGGGTATGGACAGTAAAGCATCTTGCATCTATTTGTATTATTTTTTGCCTCTTACTAGGACAAACTCATTACTGGTTCTCCTGCTGCTTCTTGTATCTCATGAATCCTCAGTTTAAGGCAGAGGAAATTGATTAATAACTTCTGTGCTTGGGGAGAGATGAAGTAGCCTATATAACAGATAGAATCATAGAATATCTCAAGTTAGAAGGGACTCATAAAGATCATCAAGTCCAACTCCCTGCTCCTCGCAGGACTACCTACAACTAAATTATATTACTAAGAGCATTGTCCAGATGCAACTTGTACTCTGGCAGGCTTGGTGCCATGACCCCTTCCCTGGGGAGCCTGTTCCAGTGACCAACCACCCTCTCAGAACCATTTCTGTTATGAGTTGTTATCCTGTTGTCAAACTGTGCCCTGGAATGTTGGGGTTTTGTTTGGGTTTCTTTTTCTATTTCTGTTTATCGCTAATTTGAGGCCAGACACTTTTGTAACGATTCTGATGATAGTTGTATGTGGTTTTTCACATCACAAATTTTCTGTCTCTGTCGACCTCTTAACGGGTGGTTTTAGGTTAGAGGCTAGAAGCTGACTAAGCTAAGGTCCCTGGAGCCTCCAGGAAGCGGTTCCTGTAATGCAGGGGGAAGTCTGTTTCACGGCTACCTGAGCTGTACCAAGTCTGGAGATAGATACGGGGCAGACGGCCACTTTCATGACCACTATTTCCACTTCTATCAGAAGCACCAGTGCCACAATGAAATGTTTAAAAGTGAAACCTCAACCGTTTATTGTGAAGTCAAGAACAGCCTTGCATTCACTGAGGATGATGATAGGCCATGTTGTTCTCCACTGTATTGCGAAGTTCACTGCCAGCCTTTTGCGAACAGCATCAAGGAACTGGAACAAGAGCAGCTTGTCCATGTTTTCCGTGAGACCTCATAAAATCTGTAAAATGAGAGGAAGAATAATTGCAGTGAGACGTCTCTAGAGCTCATAGATGATTGAGAAGTAATGCATCTGTCTGGCCATTAGATACATGAAAAGCCCCTGCTTTCTCTTACATGCTCAAGCTGTGAGTCAGTATGAGCAGATTGTTTACAGTTTATTCACAACATGGAGTTGTGAACAAAATTCGAAACATGTGTGAGCATTCAAAAAACAAACCGACTTTATGGCTTTGCATATTACACTTTGGCACATCCAGCTGTTGTAACGGTGCCAAGACTTTTTGTAGGAGTTCATTGTTAAAAGTATGTGCAAAGCTGTTCTAAAAATTACTTCCAGACAATTCAAGAATATAGAGATGAATTCATAACAGAAATGGATAGCGTAACCCTAATGCGCAAGAAACGGTTCTTCAGAAATGGTGCCTTTTGGTTATCTGTAACAATTCATTTTAATCAGCAGCTAAACACACCGGCCCATGAAATTTCTGGGTTTTGCATCAGTTCAATGTTAAATGATCTCTGTCTTTTAGGTCCCTCTGATGTGTCAGCAGTTATGAAATTCATCAGGAGACCCACATGTCCCGATGCCTCAGTAGCAGCAAGTCTACCTACACCTCCTGTACCAAGGCACAGGAAGAGTCACAGCCTGGGGAACAAGTGGGTACTCCAGGCTTTCTCACGCTCAGGCAATTTCATGCATCACAAAGGTTTAAGGTAGCAGCAGAACACTCTGGTATTTGTCCCTTCCATTTCTTGTATAGCAAGAGTGTTTCAGGCTTTACTGTGTATTCTCTAGGTTTTCTCTTGACACTTTGTTATTTTTGCTGACTCTAATCCTTGCTAGTGCCAGACGCTGGTAGTACTTGAAAGCTGTGTATTCACCTTGGTCTGCGGATTCCTGGTGCGCATCACTGATTTTTTTTTTCCTTTTGTTTTTAAACATCTTGCTAATACATCTAAGGAAACTTACTAACTGCTTGGCACACCTTACCATTCAGGAAAGTTGTGATCTTTTGCACTGTTTTACCTGGGTAATATGGATTAGAAACATTTTTCTCTACCATTTACCCAGCTAAGTGAGAGCACCTGCTCCCCAGTTAAGATTTCAGCATCTACCAGATTTCACAATTAATGGGTTAGGGGGAAAAAAGTTCACGTGACTTGTCCAAGGTCATGGAGTGTTGATGTGTTAGTTCAGCTTCGTGAAGGACCACTAAGCAGTGGCTTAGCTGGGGTCTGCTTTTTCTGTTTTTCTACCTTTGCCTCCACCCAGGGTGTTCAGGTTTTGTACGGAGAGGAGTCAAAAAACTTAAAACTTCCCATCTGCAGAAATTTAATAGTTGTTACTTACAAAGACCACTAAAATCTGAAACTTGTTGTGGTAGTCAAGGAGCATATGTACAGCAGAGGGAAAGCGTGAGCAGTACCATTTGGTTGCCTGCTACTTAATAACCTATTGATGAGGCAAAGTCTGAGTGGAAATATCAGGAGCCAAGGGTTGCTCTTAGATGACATAAGAGGGGTTTTGCATTTTTCTCTTTCCAATTTTCCAGCATGATGTGTCAGTTCAGCGTAGTGGAGAGCAAAAGCGCCACCTTCCCGACGGAGAAGCCGCGCCACCTCCTGGATGACAGCGTCCTGGAGTCGCACAGCCCGGCCCGCAGCCATGCGCTGAACTCACTTTTCACCAACGGCCTTTCCATAGGTAGTCTGTGTGGGGAACTGAC